ACAAAGAAGTCAGGTGTGTCCTAAGCATCTGGGCTGGGTAAGTAGATAGGATTGATTCTTTCATCTTGCTGTGACATCATTTCATTAATGTAATGTGACCCTCCCTGAAAAACAGATGAGGCAGTGTGTCTTACAGAAAACAAATTCCTGTCCTTTCCCTTCTATGGATGTGATGTTGAGCAAAACCAAATAACTTTAATTGGTAGGAGAAGATATGCAAAATTATCCTGGATTAATTAAGGAGTAATGTAAACAAACATAAAAACAGATTTCCAAATGTCAGTAATACTGGGAAGGAAGAAATATCATTCTAACAAACCCTGCAGCTAGAACTGGTGACATATATTGCCCTTGTGTCTTTAGAATAGCTTCCAGATTACCAGTTCATATCAAAATAAACCTTGCTGTGACTAAAATGTCTTCCTATTAACCATAGAGGTGAAGAAATACGAATTATATCAAATATAATCAGGTGACATGTCTTAACTTCCAGTTGTTTCAGCCACTACTACATAAAACAAGTAGTGCATTGCTTACATAAGGAAATGCCAGCTGAGGGTGAAATGTGTTCTTTCATTATTCTGAAGTTTTCTAACAAATTCAGAAGATAAATGATAAAGGTCTGCTTTTGGGGGCAAACAAAGCCAGTCTGTCGCGAGATTTTTAACATATATTAAGACATGAACTTGAAATCAATATAATTGTTTCAGTATAACCTTGCATAAGAAAATTCTCACTTCATGATGAATAATCTCTTTTTATTTTTTGTAGCTTGTGAATTACTGGTACTTTAAAACAAAACCTCACCTTTCATTTGATTAAAAGCTCTTGCACCAAAATGGTTTTATAGGTCAGGATAACTTGTAGAATCTTTTTTTGTGAATACTCCTTAGCAGTGGAGTAAACATGAATCAATAGATAGTTCCTGTGGCCCTTATTCCTGGGCACTTACAAATAAATACATTCCCCTATGACTTCACCAAACCTTAGAAAAATACATTTGTATGCAGATATGTGAAAAATCATATGGCAGTGCGACCCTTAGGATTGCAGAAGCTGTGCAGTACTTTAGAGCTGCAGAAATATCTGACAGCTTTTGTATGGAAAGCTCCAGGTCATTTTCAGTAGGAATATTTAAAGTTATGAAGTCTAAAAAGCAACATACTCTACTGATATATACAGCTTTCTCAGTCATTTCTGAATTCTTACTAATACTGCCTAAGGGCTAAAATAAGAGAGCTTCAGATCCATAAAATGCTGTTATCTGCCACGGGCCAAGGCAGGAGCTCGTTGCTTCCAGCCTAATCCCAATGTGCCATGTGGCCATAATAGTGGTGGTCACACTAGAAGGTAGCGGGCCTGTGACTGACTCACTGCTGCTTCAGCCAACACCAGCTGCCTTCCAGCTGAACTGCAGCAACAGAATGACTTGAGCTGTAGGCTTCTGTTACAGGTTGATGTAATTTATATTCATCACAGAACTGTAATGGTAAATCTCATTATAGCAACTTTATTGTTCTAATAGACTATTAGATAGTGTGAGGCTTCTGTAAATAACATTAAAAGAGTTAACTGAAATGGGGCTTTTTCAGTTACAAAGAAATGATGGTTTTGGATAAGGCACCATATGTCAAATTTGCTGCTGTCTTCATAATGCATAACAAGAGAGCACTTGAATACTAAATTCTTTTATATGAAGTTAGGTAAGCAACTTTTCAAGCCACACAATGAAAATAATAAAGTTATTAGCCATTTTTGGAGAAGATATTCAGCCAGTTCCTTCTGACAAAATATTTTCTTTCTCTGGAAACCAAAAGAATTTTCAAATGAGTCTGTTTCTACAAATTTCTCTGACAAAAAAGACTTGCCCCCTTCATAAGCATGTATGATATACAGCCAAACATCAACTTGTCTACGAGACCATAGGATGTGCCCACTAGATAATTAACTGATTAATATATTGTTTCAGCCTGCTAAGGCTTCAGTATGCGGTTAACATCAAAACCAGCATCAGGATTTGGCTTTCTAGACCTGCAGCAAATTACCACTATGTAACAGGAACAATTGGTAGTGTATATATATGTAGTATGAATATGTATTATATCTTATTAATGCTATTAATTCTATATTGGCTTATAGTATATTATATATGTATCCCCTGGCGGGATATGATTTTTCTATTTCACAGTGATACTGTATAGTCAACAAGAATAAATGCAGAGAACAGCTCTTGGCCCTTTTAGTGCACAGAGAAATATCAGCAGTGCAGACCAGTCTCTCAGTAGATGTACACTAATGCTAAAAACTCTACTGACAATATGCACATACAGTGGTTTTAGAAACTTACAAATTAACCAAATGTTATCAGTTTTTTTCCAGGAGGAACAAGAGCCGTATCCCTGAAATTACCTTCTGCCAAATTTCAAAGTTCTCAATAAAGGGCTGCTGGTGCTTTAATCTCTCAGCTGAAACATTTGTAATGGGTTAAATGACTACATTTTTCAGTGTTTCCTTCTCATAAATTCGCTGAAGGAAAAAGATGCCTGAAGTAGAAATGTGTGCTATTAGGGGTAAAATAAGACTAGCAAAGGTGTAACCAACTGAAAAAAAAAAAAAAGCATTACAAGGGAGTGCTTAACAACAGATTTCACATACATTACAGTATACTATCTCTCCCATTTAGAGCAGCATCTTGATCTCTTTTATAGTTAGAATAATACTAAATAAATGTAGCCATTATTTCCTTGTTTATAAGCGAATATATTTTATCTCTTTCACTGATAAATTCCTAAATAGATTCCACCTTATACTCCAGAGATATTTTAAGAAATACAAATATGTCAGAGAGTAAAGGGTCAGACAGTTTTCTTATTTAATGAAAAGATCTGGCAATAATAATTCATTTTGTACTCCAAATCCTTTTAAATGATATTAGAAGCATTAAAGTAGTAAAGAAGTATTAAATATATATATTTATTACATGATAGTGTTTAAAAGTCCCCAACCCTTCAACAAGTACACTGATCAGAAAAATACTGTGGGATTATTATGGTTATGCTCAAATAAATTGAAACCTTCACAGCTAATGTTGACACCAAATTGTTGAGCATAGCAGGAACCTGCCATTAGTAATTTACGTATTTGCTTCTAATTGTGCCTATGCATCATAAAGATGGTTCATATTTGCATTTGCTGTCCTCTGAACCAAGTCATTTTCCAGTGGCACATATTCACTTTCAATGGAGGTAACTTTCATTAGTGATAATTAAAGGAGAATTTTTACTGCATTGTGCTCCAGGAAACAATAAGAGGTTGCAGAGATTGATTAATAGCTAAACTAGGTTTGAGACATGTAATCAATCTCACAGGCACAAAAGATTGTTCCTGTTATGTAATGAAACATAACAAGAAAGAAAAAAATGTTTATTCTGAACAGTGCTTAGCTGCTAAATCCCATTGAAATGCACTAAATGGCCTGATTTATTTTAAAATGCTCCCAACAGAGAATAGCCTCAGTCTATGGGTAATGACTTTTTGCCCTCATTATCTGCACAGACTGTGTTTAGAGTCTGACTAGGACAATACCAAGGAGGATGTCACTGTTATCTTAGTGTAGAAATGATTTTCAGTAGACAAGCATGTGCAAGAGTTGCTCTGCATCCAATCTCATTACTTTTGGATTCAGTGGCTATTGAAGGTACTCCTTTTCGAACACTGCTGAATCCCACAGACTCAATATTACTTCCAGTTGAAGCCTCACTGTTTCAGTGGGACCTGGAACTGATCCAATGTTTGTAATGTGTTTTTACTTACTGAAAAGAGTGCTATTACACCGTGAGTTATTTTGCCATCCTACTATTGTGTTCAAAAATACTATCACTGCAGAATTGCTGTCAAATGTTTGTTTTTGTTGGGAAAATAACACTCCTTCTGCACTAGCATGGTGTTATCACTTAATTATTTTTTCTTTTCTGCTTCGTGATGGAAAGCTGCAATTCAATGAAGTATATATTTAAATGCAAAAGAGGCATACCAATTAATCAGTACAGAACGTGAATGCTTTTAATCTGCATCAAAAAACTGTAGGACTTAGGAAAACACCAATCTTTTCAATAGAAAGTATATTCAAGTAATTCCTGTCCATTTCCTGTTCAATTTTCCTCAAATACTATGCACTTGTGCAATTTAACTGCCTTTGCACTAATATATTCTTATAAGGTTTTGCATCATGCTAAGAACCTTTGGAAGAGTCTTTTAATTTCTTTTTCTGTAGCACAAAAATGTATGGAAGTATTTTAAATGGATAAAAAAATCAAGAATTCATGCACATTGATCAAATGTTAGCTCTGAGACAATGAGAACTGAAACTTAGATGTTTATTGCATTCTGGGTCTTACCCATCCAATTAACATGGAGAAAATTAGTAATGAAGACAGGAAATAAATTAGACTGAGGGTTGCAATTAGATATAGCCATGACAGTGAACTAATTAATTTTAAGTGTATATGAAAACTAGCTGATGGTATTGCAATGGTCAAGTCTCCCTTGCCTAGGGTCATGCAAGACTGGGAAATGATGACAATAAGAACCTGGATGCTGTTGGCATTAGGGATGCTCCAGGGTACACCAAACAGACACTTCTGTTCTGTCTATAGTAAATATATCTTGTAATAGCTTATTAGCTCTGTTTTCACCACTAGCCTGAGGCCATGCGGTGTTGCATGAATTTGTGAAGCCATCTTAGGATCTACATCTCTAGGAAGCAGTTATGAGTGACAACTCTGTACTTAATACCTGAGCAAATAGGCTCCGCCGAACCTAGAACAGCTCTCCAGGTTTATGCATTCATTATACTCTGGAAAATTTTCATTTGTGTTATTTTCATAGCTGTTATCCAGTGGTGCAAAACAGAACAGAAATGGTACTAATGGTATTTTGAAACTTCAAAACATTTCTCAAGACCTTGAGCTGTGGGTTTTTTTTTTTTTTTTCCCTGCTAGGGAAGCTCACTCCAAAGAACTATGAGAGTTGAAGACACTGCTGACATGAGGCATCAACCTCCCAGTGCCTGCTTTCAAGTCAGAGACATGCCATACTTGCCTCTGCAAGTCTACATTCCTTTATATATCACTGCTAATTGCCAGAATATTACTTTTTCTGGGAACAGTCTCTCTCTGGTCTCAATGAGGAGCTCTACATAGAGTGAGAATCCTTACTTGGGAAAAGTTTTATTGGGTATGTACATAACAAAGAAAAGCTGCTTTTTTAAAGGGTTGTCATTCTCCAACAGCTATTACTTCAGAAAATTCCAGCCTACCAACTAATGTTTGGGCCAAACCTGCATGGGTCCATTCAGAAGACTATCACTCAGTGCCTACCCTTGCAATTGGATTGATTCTTTTCATATTGAGACTAACCACCCACAAAGCCATGATATAAAAGAAGGCCAGAAAAGATTTGCAAGTAAAAAGGATCACAGCCAGATATCCACCTACTGCTTTATGTGGTTGCTTTATACCAGCCCTTCCTTGGGATGCTTTGCTAATCAAACAGTTTAGCCTTATTTGTTACTGGTATAAGAACCATCTTGTCACTTGTCACCAAGATACCACAGTATCTATATTATCTGTTTTGGGTCTCGGAAGAAAGAAATGGACATTCTTCAGGTTCTGCGGAAGTATGGCAGCATCACAACAGCCTGGATCCTTCACTTTTCCAATGCTTTTAGGGCACTGCATGCACTCCTCTGCTTGACGTGCTGCGTTTTGGGGGATTAAGAAGAAAAGCCTACCATGTTACGGGCAGCTGGGCATAATGACAGTGCTGGGGGCTTAGATTAGGAGCTGGAAACAAGATATGGGACAAATTTGTTGGTGCAATGAAAATGGAAAGGCAAAGTCAGGAGGCAATCTAGTGCCTGGAGGCTGTGCAGGGGAAGATGAAAGAATGAAAACCAAAGTGAAAGAGGCTAAAGGAGCAGAGGATCCAGCAGAGCATGGGAGGGGAACAGCTGAGATGACAGATTGAGAAAAGGGCTGTGGGGATGAGAGCAGAGGAAGGATAACTGACATCAGAGACTGCTGAAAAGTGATGATAAGCATGAAGAAGGGATGCAGAGGAGAAAAATGAGGTTGAAGCAGAAGACAAAATCCTGCAAGTGAAAATATATTATAGGTCATGTCAAAATGCAGTGGAACTATTTATTTTTGTGCTGCTCTTATCTTGTGCATTCTCAAAGCAGCAATTTTGAATCTTATTAATTCTGTGCTCTCCAGCGGCTCAGGCTGCCTAGCAATGCCTGGCTGGCGCTCTGCTGCACATGGCTCACGGCTGCCTAGCAACTGGCAGGGGGCTGCCAGGGGCCCTGGACCAGGCTCAGGGGTGCAGCCCTACCTCAAGCACCTGGATCCCCCAGCCAGGCAGAAGGGATCAATGATGCTTGTTATGTCTGTGACAAAAGATCTTCAAAATGCTGCTTGTAAAAAAAAAAAAAAAAAAAAAAAGCACACATGGAGGTGCCCATAAGAGTGGAGAGAGCCTGACAAATACCTTCAAGAAGTGGGAGCAGTCCCATTTCTCTCTGCGATATTCAGATGACCTTTCATTATTGAAATATCAATATAGTTAATTATTAGGCTCTGCAGGCTAGATCCAAAAGACAGGAAGGCAAACCAACATAGCTATGTAGCTTCTTGGGTGGTTACTTCTATTTTGATGATGGAAATATTAAAAATACCAAAATACCTTTTGATCCCAGGAAAAAAAAAAAATATAGTGTTACATATTCATGCAAGATTGTCCCAGAACAGCACTGCTTGTATACCTATTGTCGATACACTGTAATCAACAAAAATCTTCTTACAGGAACATGAGTCTTGGCATCTGGTAGAAGAGCTGATGCAGCTGATCTGAACAGACCTCGTGGCCTCTGTGCTTCCAGCTGCCCCCTCAAATCCCTCAGCTCCCTTTCCACTGTCAAAAGTGCTTATGTAGCTAAACAGCTGAACCAGGAATTGATCCAGCAAACAGATCAACAAAAAATAAGTTGTTATTTTCCAATCAACACTATTGTAAAGGGAGAACTGTTCTCAACAGGAAAACAAAGGCACATACCTAGAAAATGGAGCAGCTACAGAGCTACACAAATTACAGTGCAGGAGAAGTTGCTTTGATGCCACTACTTTGATGCTATTCTAAATAGGTGGGTTTAAAGTTACGTTTTTCTCCCAGTCAAAAATGGACCACATTTCAGAAGTGCCATTGGAAATGAGCCTGTCCCACTGAGAGGGAGCAAATTTCAGACAGCTGAGATGCTGAATGGTATGCACATTTTACTTTTTATGGGGTCATCTAGGTGGAGCTTGAGAAGCATCATTACATTCTTTTCTCTATCAGCCAGACCTACCAGCCAGGAAAACTCACAGCTTTCTTACACACTTGCATGTAACTTAAGTAAGTTAGTTAACATTTCCTTACAATCAACAGTTTACTGGAGTAGTGGATAAGTGTGATTAATTAAAACAAAAGAATAAGACAATTTCTAGGGGGCAATCTGTTGAATGTAGTTCAGACATGCATTAGTGTCTTCAGAAAGGGTCAACTTGAGTCCAAAGTTTTATTGGCTCCAGATCAGCATTGGTTCTGCTGGGTTTGGTTAACAGCCTAGCCACTCAAATGGTCCCATGCTTTTCGGTGCTTGACAATCACTTCCGTATGCACCACACGTGTTCAGGGAGCCAGCTTGTGTCTGTCACATCTGAGTCAATACAAACTCTGAACATCTCAGGGTGAGGAGCACAGTGCAGAGATCTTCAGGTGACCCTGAAGGGACATTCTGAAAGCAAGGAGGACCAGCGGGGGCAACAGCTATTAAGGCTGCTGACCTGAACAGTTGAGCCCGACTGCACCAGGATTCCCAGTGTGTAAGGCACTAAGTTAAAACGTCCCGCAAGAAGTGAGCTAGCTCCGCGTGAGGCCAGTCTGTGTGTACCTATATCACATCGGCCCGCCGACCCCGCCGCCGCCACGGAGGCTCTGTGCCGTGGGAGATGGCACGAGGTGGCGCTCTCTGATGGCGTCTTCAAAGAGCGCAGTTTGAGGCTGAGCGTGGTTGGTTTGTTTAAGGGCTTTTGGGCGGAGATTCGTTGGAGCCCTCTCGAGCTTCTGCTCAGATGTTTGAGGTGGGCGCGTTGCCTGGCAGCCTGCGCTGCCCTGCTCAGCTGCTGCTCCGTGTCTGCTTGCAGGACTTGATTGCCTGCTGAAGTGAAGCACGGTGTGTTTAACAAAACACCGCTGAGTTTTCTATACTGAAAAAAGTCCACGCGCAATGTCCCACGTGTCTGCCATCTCTTAGTTCAGGGGCAGCAGTAACATTCTGAGAAGAGTTGACAACATTTGTGCTGCTTGAGGATGTTAACAGCTCCCGTGAAGCCAGTCTGTGATCTGTAGGCAATTATAGGCTCATCCAAGCCAACAGGAATTCGTAGTCTAACTGAAGAGAGAAATCAAATTTGTCTTTGTATTATGATCACTGGACAAGTCAATGCCCAGGATGGTTTCTGATCAAACTTACCCTGGGAACCATTAAAGGCTTGCCTATATCTCAGTGCTGTTACAGGTCAAGTTAAATTATTTTACATTAAAAGGGCACTTGGAATCCAAAATAAAAATATTTTGTTGAAAATTACCTGCTGTCCAAAAGAGAGTTATTGAAACCTCTTTGGAAATAATTTTATTAAGTTGCCAAACGAATTAGCCATCTGAAGACATCAGTACAGATCCATCCCACAGCAAGTGCTGTGAGTGCACCTGCTCCATCCTCCGCTGCCCCAGAGGGAACTCATTCAAGCATCTGTCTGTTCCCAGATGAGAACTGTGAGGTCCCTCCCAGGCCCAGCGGGCCTTCCTGGGCTCCCTGCCATTCACCCTCACTGGCTCCAAACGAGCTGCTGGACTTTGCTGACCTTGGAGGGAGGCAGATGTTGTTCTCCTCTCTCCACCTTGACTTGGAGACACCATCAGGGTGGCCCAGACCAGGGCAGCTTCAGTGCTGCAAACATAAGATGGACTCTGGTGGTCATGTGAGGTATCATACAATTGTGCAGACAGATGAAGCTCTCTGCTCTTACTCTGATGAATTTCAGACTATTTTTCTGAAACGTGTTGATATTTCACTACTGTGAGTTTCTGTGGGACAACCAATAATGCACACAGACTGACAGCAGTTGCTTTTGTGTGTACAAAATGCACAGCCAAGAGATGAGTAACAGTCCCTGGAAACAGCTTCTCCTCGGCCTGGAAAGGCAGGCTCAGCCATCCCCACATAGAAACAACCTGCTGTTACTGCTTCCTTGTCTGGTATGATCACAGAAACAGGATTGTACTTACAAAAAAAAAAAAAAAAAGATATGCAAGAAAAATTGTCCCAAAGAATAACAAGCTACTTGCATTGCACACTTCTGCAACAACCACAGGAGGTCCTGAATGGTAATAGCTGAGCTAAGAGAGTGTCTGGAATGATGTACATAGGTTGCTCTGAAAATAATGCTTCATATTTATTTCCATGGAAACTACAACAGATACAAAGAGCACAAGAACATTTTGATAGATTCTCAGCAACAAAAAACTATTTCAACATGGTCACCACCATTAGGTATGCATTGTCACCAGCAACAAGAACAAGAGCCTGCATGCTATGCTCTCAAAAATCTGCACCAGCAGAGATGACCCACTGTCACCAGTGCTGAAACGCGTCATTCACCGCCTCACATCCAGTGTTTGGTCTCCATAAACATGCAGCAAGCATTGATGAATGTTAGTGGGTACAACTTTTTCCACATGGAGGAATTCAGTGACACACCTTTGTTTCATCTGCACTTTGTCAATCTGACCCTCTGCTGCCATCTGTCACACAGCAACAAAATGTAACAGGACATTAGTGGGAAGGGTCGACCGCTGCTTCCATATCAAGAACATCCACTTCTGATGGTGTGGGCCAACATAATAAAATAGGAGACTTTACTTTCAGAACAGCCATCTAGTTTACCTCAGACAAATACTTAAGTTCTTATATATTACAAACTGATAATAGATAATAGTTAATTGCTACTTCTGGGCAGCCCTTTGCAAGAACCTCCACAGCTGAGATTTGGCCTTTCTCCCTCTCCTACAGGATGATCAGCTGGGTAGGGCCTCTGTACAGCACTAAATACCTCCTAACTGCATTGTTCCTATTGTTTAGCCACTTCATGCCACCAATTGTTGTTACAGGAGGCAGAGTCTTGCAGGATAATGATAGGCTGAAGTAAATGTGATGAAGTTCAGTAAGCCCAAGTGCCAAGTCCTGTACTTTGGTCACATCAACCCTATGCAATGCTACAGGCTTAGGGTAGAGTGGCTTGAAGGCCGTGCTGAAGAAGAAGACGTGGGAGTGCTGGTCGATGCTCAACATGAGCCAGCAGCATGCCCAGGTGGCCAAAGCCAATGGCGTTCTGTCTTGTATCAGAAATAGTGCAGCCAGCAGGAGCAGGGAGGTGGTCATCCCCCTGTACTCAGCTCTGGTAAGGCCACACCTTCAGTACTGTGTTTGGTTTGGGGCACCTGACTGTAAGACATCGAGGTCCTGGAGGGTATCCAGAGATGGGGAAAAAAGCTGTAAGGGGTCTAGAGCACAAGGCTTACGGGGAGTGGCTCAGGGAGCTGGGGTTGTCCAGTCTAGAGGAGGCTCAGGGAAGGCCTTCTCTGTCCCTACAACTGCCTGAAAGGAGGTTGTGCTGAGGTGGAGGTCAGTATCTTCTCCCAGGTAGCAGCAATACGAGGAGAGGGAATGGCCTCAAGTTGCACCAGGGGAGTTTCAGGTTGGATAAAACCTCTCAGAAGGAGTGGTGAGGTACTGGAATGGGCTGCCCAGGGAGGTGGTGGAGTCACCATCCCGAGAGGCATTCAAGAAGAGGGTAGATGCAGCACTGGCATGGGGAGAATGAGCTGAGGGTAGGACCAGGCAATCTCAGTTTTTCCGCACCTTCTACACGAGGGGCAGCGATGCTTCCCCGATGGAGCCTTTTGACCTCTGCTGAGAAGCCGACACTGCCTCAGCGCAGAACGAGTGGATCTGGGGGTTTTGTTGCCGCTGGGGCAGGGACGCAAGCGGTGACGCAACACAGCGCACCCAACGCCAACCCCGCCGGCCGCCATCTCCCCGCCGGGCGGCGCTGCGCCATGAGCGACCCCACCCCGCGCATGCGCACGGCGGGGAGCCCGGCGCCTACAGCTCCCGGCGTGCTCTGCAGAGCGGGCGGGTTTTTTTCTGCTGTTTTTTTTTTTTTTTTTTTTCTCCCTCGGAGAGGGAAGGATGGGTGGGGAAAGCGAGCGCTCACGAAAGCGAGGCGAGGAGGAATCCCACAATACCAGGCGGGTTGCGAGCCCGGCGCTGCCGCTGTCTCTTTAATGCAAGAGGAAGCGATGCGGAGGGGTGGAAAATGGCAGAGTTGCAGATGTTACTAGAGGAGGAAATCCCTTCTGGCAAGCGGGCTTTGCTCGAGAGCTACCAGAACCTCACTCGAGTCGCCGACTACTGCGAAAACAACTACATCCAGGTGAGGGGCGGCGGGGCGGCTCTGCGGGGCGGGGTGCGCGGCGCGGGGCCGGAGCCGTGAGCTGCGAGCCGCCAGCCGCCTCGGGGGCACCGCGCCGCTCCCCCGGATTTGCCTTTTCTTTCAACTTTCCCTGCCGAACGGCCGGCTTCCCCCCACCCCGGCTCCGGAGGGGGAGGGAGGGGGGTTATTATGTCAGTCCGGCTCGGAGGAGGGTGTGTCTTTTTTTATTTTTTTTTCCTCCCTCCCCCTCTGTGTGTATTCATTATGAGTCACATCCCGGAGACCTCCCCGGGCCGGGCGCGGGGTGGGGGGGCGGCGATCCTCTCCGCGCGGCCGGTCCGGAGCCGGCGCCTCG